CTCTCTTATTTCAGAATTTCTATTTTTTAAGTCCTAAGTGGTCTCTAAAGCAATTTGTTCAGTTGCTTTTGTAGCCCTGATCTATTCGGTTGTTTGGCAACAACTGTCCATGATCCTGAATTAGAATACATCTCATGCTGCCTTCAGTGAATCGGGTCACCTCTGAGATGGTTTTAGTAATAGATGGCATTGTGTCTGGAATTTTTAGTTCTAAGAAGAGAGAAGTCTGCTCATCTGCTTGTCTCTCACATTTCTCACCGTTAAAAGTGTTTGATAACTTTAGTTCTGTCTTTACAACAATTTAACAAACTTGGACTGAACATTACTCCCTGATAGATTGAGAAGCTGAGACTTGGAGAATTTTAGTGATGCTGCCAAGATAGCACAGCTAATAAGTAGCAGGGCCAGGTCATAAGCTTAAGTACTTTTATCCCCAAATCTCATTTTCCTCCTATAATATCACACAACAGGCTATAAAACAAAGGTCTTTTTCATAGTTAACCACAAGCTATGTGATGTTAGACAAGTCACTTCATAATCTTTTCTAAAAACTGCCATGCAATTATTTCTCAAAAAAATTGTAAAACCAAAATAAAACAGTTCTTTAAAATGATGGATGGATAATTGTCACCATCTTGTATGTGTGCAAGGGCCACCTCTCCAAAAATCCCTGGTGCCATTAGATGAAACAGACAGTATATAGTCTTGGGTAACATTTAGCCATGTATTATTCATATGGTCCCCAACCTGGCAACTCATAAGGTTCTCTGAAGGGCTTTCCAAAGATAGGGTGGTGTCAGACATGGTTTTTTCCTTTTAAAAATTCCAGGTGATTAAAACGCATGATCAGAAATGCTTCTTACTCACTGGCAGACCATAATAAACTCCATGATTGACTGTGGGAAATTCATCTAGTACTCTGGAAACTAACAAGTGGGAGGTTTTAGATTCCTTCTTGCTTTCATTCAGCAAAATTGACTGAAGCTGAAGTTACATTTTCAAATGTTTATTCAGGAAAAATATATGTCTGTCTGTAGCAAAGCTCAAAAGTGGTCTCCAGAATATTTAAAAGAACATGTTCATTAGAATATTCTGTATAATACTTTGAGTAGATTATAATGAGTGAAACCAACCTTCAGACTTTCGAAAAAACAATAATATGTGACAACAGATTCCACTTAAATATTAAGTTTTCACACACGTTGTTTATGAAATATATTGTTCTGTTTACCTTGCTGGACTTTTGTGTGTATTTATGCTATTACTTCCTTTTCTTTCTTCTCTCTCTCTCTTACTTATTTATTTTTCTTTTTATGGCACCTGGGATTGAACCCAGGAGCACTTAACCACTGAGCCACATCCCCCAGACCTTTTTATATTTTATTTTGAGACAGGATATCACTAAATTGCTTACAGCCTCACTAAATTGCTATGGCTGGCTTTGAACTTGTGATCCTCTTACCACAGCCTCACAAACCCCTGGGATTTATAGGCATGTGCCACTGCACCCAGCCTGTACTTCTTAATACATAGTATAAAACTTTTTTAAACTTCATACACTTTCAGAGATAACATCTTTTAGAAAATAAAATGACTCTCTTTGATAAAAATCCAGTGTTCTCATACCAGGGGAACCAATAGCAAAAATTCAGCTAGTGTCAAACCCAGGCAAAAATCTGGATGGGGTTTATTTGCAAACACGTCGAATCTGCCGTGAGTAGTCCATCAATGCTGTGTCAAGAACTGAGGCATTAGTAAACAAGGGTCAAGTTTTAGTATGAAAGCCTTCCTTCAGTATTTTTACAGAAGCTTGTCTTCCTCATCATGCATCCAAATGTTCTTTGTTATGTCTTGTCTACTTGCGGTCCCTGTCCCTTCAAGGCTGTTCCTGGGTGACATGTCCCCGCTCCTCCCCAGTGTGGGTGGTCTTTTCCCTTGGCTTCCAGCTGCCCAGGGGCTTCTTTCGTGTTTTCCTTTGTTTCTCCTCACCTTTACTTCTCCTCTTGACCATCTCCTGTGCTCCAGGTACCTCACTGAAGCTTTCCCCTTTAGGGTCCAAACCTCAGAATCAGTGCATTTCAGTTTCCACTCCCCAGGAGTAAAGCAGTGGATTCCTAATGCTGATTTCAGGGCTGAGCCTAGCAGGTCTTTTCCTTAATAGGAGGAACAGGAGCACACCATAGCCATTTTGAATCCACATCTTTGCAGTGGGGCTGGCTTTACCCATATGCTTGTGCAGCCCAAAGCTGGAATTATGGACGGCTTTACCTGCCACATGATCATATCATACAAGTAGGGGCTGTCCAAGTGCAATGCTATGTCAACACTGAATACAGATGAATGGTACAGGAAAGATTTTTGTCCTGATTATACTGATGAAGTGTTCTTTTTGAATATGCTGCCTGCACTTCAGCTGCCACATATGCAAAAGGAAGCACCATGCATCTCTGTGGATGTTTACATTTATAGATTCATGCATAAATTTATCCTAGGCCCCAAGTCTTTGATTGGTTTATTCTTCCTTATTTTTATGAGTATTTTCTCTGTTTCGGTTGGAGCACATGAGAGACGGCAATTCTCAAGTGTCTGAAAGCACCTAGTGACTCTTAGTATTTGGTCTCCTTAGCTTTCCAGCATAGGCGAGGGAAATGGGAGAGAAACTCTTCTGTCCCTGTACAATAGCTGAAGGAATAGGTGCTTTCTCTGCCAGGAATGAAGCAGAAACCGACCAAAGAAACCAGCAGCCTCCTGTTCATCATCCAGAGAAGTCTGAGCTGCTTGCAAAGCCCAGTAAGGCCTCAGGGCCTCAGAAGCAATCTCTTTGCAAACAAGCTGTGCATTTCTCAGCTCCTATATTGTTGTCACCTGCTAGTGTCATTATCACCTGTTTCTACAGCACTGAAGTACTCCCAGCCCTTGGTTTGTAAATGCACAGAGGAACCTATGGCTAAGATAGGAATGGAGAGAAAAATTTGCAGTAGAAATAATAACTCTTTCCAAAATAAGGATTTGGGGAATGTCTAATACCTAAGAAGAAGAGAGGAGCTGATCAAGAGTACATTTAAGGTCAAACCAGTGGCATTCAGTCCATGTACTTAATGATGTGTTTTATATTTTTAATAATAATACAGTTGGTACCTTGGTATGAAAGCAGCCTCCACAAAGAATTTCCATGTGTATAACATACTAATAAGAAACACCTGACATAATTCTACAAAGAAATTAAATGGTAATACTGAGAACAAACTGAAATACTGTTCTTATTGGAAGAGTAAATGGCACTCATATAACTTTTTTATTAAAAAATTCAATTTATGGTGCTTGTTTTGTTTTTCTTAATGTCTTTGATTTAAAACATTATATTTCAGCACATAAATGAAAACCTGGTCATTTAGAATTTCATACAGGAGATATTTTGAAAGGTTTTTTGTTTTTTTCCTTAATTCACATTTTTTTAGGTAACTAGCCATACTAGTTAGGAAGAAGAAAAAAAGAAAACCATTAACACATCAGCCCATTTTCCTTTTTAGTTGATCTGGTTTAGTTGATGCATTTTTCCCCCCTCATTGTTGATGAATAAAATGCTCTTGCATTATTGCCTGTTTTATATTTTGAATGGAGCTATAATTTATATTCTATAAAGAAAGGCTTTTGGAAACACATTTTTTTTAATGTAGGCTCACATTTTGATGGAGAATAACAAGCCAGAATCTTTTATGAAACCAAGACTGAAATAATAAATTAACATAATTTTAGACATTATTGTCCTGATATCATAAAAAAGCTGAGAAGAGGAGTTTGGTCTTCATCTAATAGAATAATAACGTGCATGCTAGCCTGGATAAATTAAATGTTACCAAAATAACCTGTTTTAGGCTAGCTCTTTTTGTCAAGGCTAGATTTGACACACACCAGTAGAAACATTGGGCTATTTGAGGTCTCAGAAGCAGACAATCAGTAAGTGCTTCTTAAATTTATGAGTGAAAAGTATATGAATAGAGATATACTCATGTCCACTGATAGCATGCTGAGAACATTAGTCTGGGTCAGATTTTGAGGTCTTTGTTAGTAAATTTATCTTACTAAAATGTATAGGAATGCAAATAAACTTGGACACAATTATTATTATTTTAAATTAAACCAAAAACCATAGACCAGTTGAAGTTGTCAGTATAAGATTTTTTTCTAAAATACCAGGATAGTAGTTGTATATGTTTTTAAGAAAAAAAATTGTCATATGCTGAATAAATTGTAATTCAGTCATTAGAAATGACTACTATTTAGTAATTTAGTTATCAGACCTGGGAGGTTGAAGAGCTTTGTGTTCTTGTCTAATGTTCAAAATGAACGTAACTATAGTAGCTCTTCCAGGAAATGTGAAAGTGGAAATGTAGTGAGTTTCCCCAGGGTCACTACAAGTGATATTATGTCTCCAAGTTATGATAATTTGAATAAGGGTAGATATTATATTGTAGAACTTTAGAGCTACAAAGGATATTTAAGTTTATCTAATGAAAACTAGCATGAGTTTATAACAGGAAACTGAGACTCATAATGCAGATGATGAATCAAACCAACAGAAGGAAACTTTTAATTAAATAGGTGGTATTTATACAGTTATAAGTAGATAAAGCTTTGTACTCTGAACTTGTCTTTTAGAAGATTCTGTGTAAACTTTCTGTTCCTTCTTAGATTCCTGTGGCCTCTTTTTCTTCTGTAAAGCATTGATTTCACTCTATTTTAATTATTGTGCTGCTCTTCCTTGATGGAATGAAAATGTCTTTATGGCAGAGGACTTGTCTTACTGCTTTGTACTTTTGTACCTTCAGTTTTAATCACCGTGACGGTCACCGAACAGTTTTTCTAATATTGGGGGAACAAATTAACGTCTCATGGCAACAAGAAAAAAAAAATTAATAAACATTCAAGTAATGAATCCTACATCTATTAAAATGCATAATTAACAAAGGTAAACGTGTGTTCTGTTTTTCTCCCCACAGTCTCCAAACGTCCACAACTACCCCGATATGGAAGCTGTACCCCTGTTGCTAAATAATGTGAAAGGGGAGCCCCCGGAGGACTCATTATCCGTCGATCACTTCCAAACACAAACTGAGCCAGTGGACTTGTCAATAAACAAAGCCAGGACGTCCCCCACTGCCGTTTCATCCTCCCCAGTTTCCATGACAGCATCCGCCTCCTCACCTTCTTCCACTTCAACCTCTTCATCTTCATCTAGTCGTCCAGCCTCATCCCCAACTGTTATAACATCAGTATCTTCAGCATCGTCTTCGTCAACAGTATTAACTCCAGGACCCCTTGTTGCCTCTGCGTCTGGCGTGGGAGGCCAGCAGTTTTTGCACATTATCCATCCTGTACCGCCTTCAAGTCCCATGAATTTACAGTCTAACAAACTGAGTCACGTTCACCGCATCCCCGTGGTGGTACAGTCGGTGCCTGTTGTCTACACAGCTGTACGGTCACCTGGAAATGTGAACAACACTATCGTCGTGCCGCTTTTGGAGGATGGGAGAAGCCATGGCAAAGGTAAGTGACACAAAGAAAGCCCTGGTTTCTTTTGGCACTAGAGAAAAGTGTTCATTTATGCATTTATTCAATGAGTGCACTCTTAGCTGTACGCAAACCCTACATCCAAAGAAAACTACTGATCAGCGTTGAATAGAGCACAGTTTAGTGGAAACCATATTTGTGTAGATATTTGCTTCGGTTTTCCTTAGTTTGCATTTTTATTTATCAGATAATTTAATGTCAGAATTCAGGGATCTAAGTCTGCAAAGTAATGCTTATCTTTAAATGGTCAGATGACAAGGGAAATCTGTGGCGAGTGGGATTATGTATGCAGTGTTTGGATCCCTCATAGAAGTTAGTCATTATGAATTCTTTTAAAGAGTAAATCAGGATGTTTCTCCTTATTTTGTTTAGACTGGAACTTATTTTATTACTGCAGTAATAAAAAATGGGATGAAGCTGAAATTCCTGAAATCTAATCATTCACTTTTGAGTGACTTGTAGGTTACCATTAAAATAAATCTAGGGCTGGGCTTATGACTCAGAGGAGCACTCAACTAGCACTTGCGAGGCCCTGGGTTTAATCCTCAACACTACATAAAAATAAATAAATAGAATAAAGTTATTGTGTTCAACTACAACTAAATAATAATAATTCTAAAGTTAGTTGTTCGATTATAAAAAATATCAGGGAGCTCAGTTATTAACATCTTATAAGTCTCAGTATTATTTTTAAATAACAGGATGACTTAATGTAACAGAAATATTTTTAAATGAAATATAAACATTCTCTTCTAGGGTTTAGAAGGCAGAGAAATACTGTGACATATGACTATGTAATCATACCTAGTTATTTCATTAAATTTTGGTAGTTATGCAACTGATCATGAAGTTATTTTCTCCAAGTTTTTTTCCCAAAAATTTTACTAGAAAAAAATTGTGATAACATCATACCGTCTCTTCTTTCTTCCTACCATCTATAGAAAAATGTAAAAGCCCATAATCATTGACTCATTCCCTTTTAAATGAGATGTGAATGTATGTATTTTGTCTTCTGTGCCTATAAATGATGCTAGATTAAGATATATTAGTTTTTGCTTTGACATTGTATTGACTACTGAGGCCTGTAATGAAAATATGATTAATGAATACATAAAACACGGTCTTCTCATAAAATGCTAGTAAACATGGTAGTTTGGGTTCTTATGTATAGTAGGATTCAATAGAGAGAGATTATATTGGATTGCAAACTTAGAGAAAGTTTTGCAAGCATACTACAGAATTGTGTTATTCACCATTTGCAAGTTACATTTTTTATAGCACTGAAATAAATTTCACCTTCCCGAGTTAACAATATGAAAATTTCATGATTCAGAGCATACAGGAATTTTAGTCTACAACTTTGAGCTGTAAGCACTCACTGCTTACCAGAAAACCGCTGTCTTCTGTGTCATTATGGGCCAGGTACTGGTCTCCTGACCCTGTAACAGAAAAGGTAGAGGAAAAAGAGGGACTGGGGATTCTGTTCAGGGGTTTATTCAAGTCAAGCCCTATTTCATATCACAAATATTGCTATTGCAAATACACAAATCTCTAAATAATAACATAACTGAAAGACAAAACAAATATATATTTCTTTCTGAATTCAGAGATATAATGTTTTTCTAAGAACTAGGAATTAGCATGCAGTGAAACTTACTACTTTGTACACTGCATTATTTTATATATGTTTATGTGTAATGGTCGAATCCAGTCTTCCTGCGATACTGCTTAAAAGAAATACTGCTTTCATTATGCAGTTGATTAATAGATATTTTAATGTTCCTCATGGCCTTTTATATAGTTTTGACTCACTAATGAAGGAAACAAAACAGAAATCTTATTTGCCATCATCATTTTATGGGAGAGTTAGTTTTATTTAATATGAATATATAAAATAGATGGCTAAAATTTAATTTTGTAGAAAATATTTCATTTTAGAAGATCTTTTAAAAACTCAAACTGTAATTCTCTACATGAATACATTTGTTAGTGGTATATTTTTCATGTAGTGTGTTTTACTTGGCAAATATTTCATATTAAGAATAAAAATTTGTTTAATCATAAACCTACTGGACTGTGCTATGGTTACTAGGAACATGAGATTGGAGATCAAAGATGTACCACTTGGAATCCTGGCTTTTTCACTCATGGTACTGAATGTGGGAAAGTTACTTAATCTCATTAGTCCTCGTTTTCACCCAGTGACAAAATGGGGGTAACATGATCTATCCTAAGATTATTGGGAAGATTAAGTAAGAAAGTAATGTAAATGTGTAGTGTTTATAAATGTCAGTAAATGTTTGTGGTTATTTATCATTATGATTGTTCTGCCCCAATACCATAGGCAATAATGTTCAAATTTTCTTTTTCTCTGTTTTTTATAAAAACAGAGATGTCATCACAACAGCGAATTATGAGAGATGAGAGATTGGTATGAGAAATTGTACGGGAATATTTCATGTTTTTGTTTTTATTAGTTTACATTGTATTTATAATCACCATATTCTAAAAATATTGCTGTAGCATTTTGTAAGGTTTTTTTTATTGTTTAAACTGGTTAATTAAATGATAGTAAATGTGTTCAGCGGAGTGGGCCTAGCTTACAGAATGGGTAAAGGAAAGGGCAGTTCTGTCATTCCTCGGTCTTTATTTTCTCATGTGCAGCTAGGTTTTGTGCCACCAGGAGAGAGAGAGTGAGGAAGAGAGTTGTTCCTTCCCTTCCCACTTAGGATTTGTAGTCTGGAATGGATGAGCAAAAGAAAATACGACAGGAAAGTATGATTTTCAAAATGCCACTCATAAATTAGATAAGTGTACTGGTTAATTAGTCATGACCTATCTGGTCTCTGACTTGAGAAATAAGATTACCCGATATGTCACATCATACAAAGGGCTGTGAATATGCACATTCATAGCTAATCTAATGCATCATGTCTCAAGTCTTTTGTTCATTTAGGTGTTTATTGAGCATCTATCATTATCAGGTGTTATTGACACCAAGCATATAATCCGAAACAAAACAGCTGCTGTTCCCAGTGCTCAAAGGCTCATGGGCAATGTCAACATTCAACAAATAAATCATAAAAAGATAATTGTATAACTTATTATGGATAAGTTGGACTACCACAGACCAGCCAGGATTGTGTCAATGGAAAGTGCTTAATTATAGTCCCAATAGAATTGTGTTTAAGCAAAGTATTTCCATGTAGGTTGTTACATGTGGAAGGAAGAAATGTTTTGACTGTGATGCTCAGAAGGGGGTGGTAAGGATTTGGGGAAGTGCTGGGATGAAATTTTCACAAGAATGCTTGAAGAACAGCAGAAGGCCAGGAAGTGCTTTCTGATGAGACTTGAACCACTGCCATCCGAGTTGGTAAAGACTATTGGCCTAAAGTTGTCGGCTTTCCCAGGACATGTGGAGATCTTAGTGAGCCTTGAAGAGAATCTTCTGGAATGCACAGTAAAGGAACAGAGTTTAGAATAGAGGGAGAATGTGAGAGAAGATCTCCTGAGGAGAACAGTCTGCCAGTTGGTACCCTGAGCACAAGCAGCACTCAGCCCTGGGTGTCACAAGGAGAGGTGCTGAGCTCCCCATGCAGGGATGAGCATTTGCTGCCATGTAGCTGACACATGATGTCTGTAAACAAGACCCTAAAGGGAGTATTTGGCTTCTTAATAATTGGTCCAGGAATTTTCATTCAATCTGGTGAGGGTCATGGTCAATTTCCCAGGAGAATTTCATGGGCTTCTATAGATAGTCTCTGCTTTTCTGCTACTAAGTATCATAACAAATCATAGGCAGAGTTGCTCTTGGTTCACTACTGCCTTGATGGAAGAGCTCAGCAGGTTTGGAGTTCTCCTTCCTTCTAGGATGTAGTGTTGCCTTATATAGGCCAAGCACAGTTCTAGCCACAGGGGCTCCAAGATGAGCAAGTCCTCCTTGTCCTGCATGGTACATTCTAGTAGGAGACACTGCTGACATTGGCTAAGTAGTATACATGCTGTAGGAAAATTGAAGAAAAATGCAGTTTTAGGTATAACTAAAGAAGTCTCTGGGCAGTGGCATGCGACTGTAATTCCAGTGTCTGGGAGACTGAGGCATAAGGATCGTACTGTTGATACCAGCCTGGGCAACTTAGAAAGACTCTGTCTCAAAAATAAAAAAGGGCTGGGGCATGTAACTCATGGGTAAAGTGCCCCCTGGGTTCAATCCCCAATGCCACCAAGAAAAAAAAAAAGTCTCTGCAAAATAAGCTATGCTAATAATACCTGGAAAAGACTTTCCAGGAAAAGAAAACTACAGGTTCAGAGACCCTGAGGCTCCAGTGAGTAGCACCTGTGTGAGGAAGCACAGCAAGAAGGCCCAGAGGAAGGGGCAATGGGAAAGTGGTAGAGATGTGGGCCAGGGTAGGTCCAGCCTCGAAGTCATGGTGTAAATGCTTTGGGTTTTGTTCTAAACATGATGTGAAACCACTGGAACTCTCACAGCAGGAATGTGACATGATCTATTTTACCTTTTACAAACACCTTCAAGTCACTGTATACCATCAAGAATGTAGGGCAGGACCTTGGCCCATTTATTGATGGGGTTATTTATTTTTTTGGTGCTTAGCTTTTTGAGTTCTTTATATACCTTAGAGATTAGTGCCCTATCTGATGTGTGAGGGGTAAAGATTTGCTCCCAAGATGTAGGCTTGGGAGCAAAATCTATTCACCTCACAGATTGTTTCTTTTGCTGAGTACAAACTTTTTAGTTTGAGTCCATCCCATTTATTGACTCTTGGTTTTAATTCTTGTGCCACAGGAGTCTTATTAAGGAAGTTGGGACCTAATCCCACACGATGTAGATTAGGGCCTACTTTTTCTTCTATTAGGTCTCTGGTTTTATTCCTAAGTCCTTGATCCATTTTGGGTTGAGTCTTGTGCATGGTGAGAGATAGGGGTTTAATTTCATATTGTTGCATATGGATTTCCAG